CTCTCCGCTGTCCCCTCTCCGCCGCCGCGCTGCCCTCCTCCCCGGCGGTCCTCAGCCAGACAAAAGGCTTTCACCTTTCGCGGCCTTTAATTCACACAAAGAAACTTCATAGGAAAGCCAGGGGCAAGTCTCCATCCTAAGGCATTTATTTTAAGCAGCAGAATACCATGTCTGCATGCAAGAAGTTATTTTTGCTTGTTTTTTTTTAAAAAAAACACTTTTTTTTTTCTCTTACTCAACGGCTTACAAAAATTAGCTGAAGATATTTCCATAAGTAATTTTGAAGGCCAATTAATGCCAGACAGATCCCAGTGGGCAGGTCTGTGGAACAGAGGAAGTTTTGCAGAGATCTAGTGAGCAGCACAGTGCTCAATGGAAAAAGCAGATGCATTTGCCAGTTTTCTGATGGCTCTCACTCCCGCTGTTCCCCCCTGTAACATCTGATCTCACCGAGATGAATGTCCTTCTATTCCCACGCGCAGGCAGGTGGGTAAGTTTGCATGCTCCATCTTTTGCTTGGTCTCCTGGCCAGAGCAATCCCGACGTTATTCCTCGTTTTCTTTTCCTCCTAACAAATCTCAGGCGAAAGGTTTGTTGTAAGCTCTGCCTACTGAGGGGCACTTGAGGAGAAAATGCTGACCAAACCTGCAGCAGCCACCTTGAACAGAAGAAATTAAGTGTAATGCATAAAATTGTAGATGGGACTCATACAAAACATTTGTGGGAATAAATTTTCCCACTTCCAATATTTCAACAGCTTGCAGGGGAGAACTTATGCTTATTAAATGTCTTCACAACAGCTTTCATGTTAGGGAAGGACTGAAAGCTTTTGTGGTTTTTTTTCAGTTTTCCTCGTGGCAATAAAGTTGAAATGTAGCAGCCCTTCAAAATGAAGCTTCTCATAGAAGTTGTAACCACAGGTCTTAACTTTTCATCACTTAAATATGGAACAGAACCATTGCGAATGCGGGTGAGGGAAGGAGGGGACACATGTGGTGTGTATCAAGCACCGGTGTAAATCAGAAAGGTGTGGTAAAAGGGATTTCCTGCCTAGAAGCAAAGCTTTCGTATTTGTTCTTAAGATCTGTGTGCAAACTCCAGGGCTATAAAATTGCTACTAGCTCGCATCTTTTTGTGCTGAGGCTGCACCGAGCGCTTCACTAGAGGGATCCAGTTCTCCAAAATGAAATCCTGATGCCACTGCAACTCTCTGCCCCACTGTACTGGATCCGAGCAGCCATCTTCTCCTTTCAGAGGGCTGGTCTGGTTTTTGTTCCCTCGTCTGTGGCTTGCCCGGGGCCTGCTTGGGATCAGGGCATGCACAAATGTGCAAGTAGGTGCCCTCTCTACAAAAACCTTACAGCCTGAACAGACAGCACAGGAAAAAGATGGCAATCAGCACCTGAGTGTGGGGGAAGCCAGAAAGCATCCCACTAGGTGCCCTTCCCCCTCCCCAAGTTGTACGGGGTGGTTTGGGTTGTTTTCCATGTCTGTGGGCTTTTGTATGGCCAGCATCTGGTTTCTGAAATTTCTTGTCTAAGCTTTGGTGGCATGGGAGTAGGGAAGAAGCTGGGGGGAGGGGGAAGGGGGGAGGCTCTATTAGTTAAAAAAGTCAGAAAACGATTAAAAGAGAAATCTGTGAATTTCTAAGCCTTGTGCATCACCTTAGTGGTTTTTACTGACATGACAAGTGATAGCTCAGTTGTTTTCTGCCTCGAGTGTTTGTCTTTTCACTCGTTCGCCCTGTGGGTGCACACCGACTCCAGACCTGTGACCCCAGTGCCTGGGCTCCCTTTGCAGCCCCTGCGGGTGTTCCCGGGTGGCCTGCGCATAGGTGGGGAGGGAAGGGCACATCCGATGTTCCCCTCGGCTGCAGCAGCTCAGTAGGGTGCAGGACCAAGAGGTGAAGGGCATGCGTACAAGACTGCTTGGAGAACTGCAGTTGCTAGTAACTCTGCGAGCGGTGGTCACGGCAAGCGGCTGAGCTCGTCTGTGTGCCCACGGGCCACCCAGGTGCAGCCATCTGAGGCATTCAGTCAGGCAGCAGCAGCAACAGGACTGCTTCGCAGCATCCTTCATGGATGCTTTGCGCTGTGGCCATGCTCACTGGAATTTTAATGAATATCCATGCAGGGATCTTTGCACTGTAAATTCCCCTCTGCTACCCCATTGCCCTCCAGACCAGGTATTCCTCACTGCTGCCTTCGATGGTCTCTTGTACCTCTATAGTGCTCCACCTTCCTGATGATCTGACCTCCTTAGAGATGTGCCCTACTCTTTCCCCTCCATTTAAAATTTTATTTATTTCCTTTTCAAACTGTTACAGCTGTGCATACCTCCTACTTCTGAAAATTGCCTTTACCTAGCTCTGCCTTTGGGCTCACCAGCCCATCTTGTTCCTCTCCTTTCCTCCATGGAGGGTGTGGGTGCTCTCCAAGGGCCATAGTAGTTGCTTTTGACTTGTATCTAAAATGTACTTCATTTTCCTGAAATAAGTTGCTTCCTTTAGGCTTCAGGGGCATTCTTTTCTTGTACAAATTCTCCCTTGAAGCACAGACCTGGGAGTATTGTGTAATAGCAACTATGCGTACGGCGCCTTCCCTTTGTCACTCTGAACAGCCTCTCCCCAGTCCAGACCAGTCGTGTTTGGAAAGTAAAGGCAACAAAGCGATGACTGATCTGTGGTGGCAGCCTGTGATGCCCATGAAGACTCTGCGTGTGGCAATTTGTTTCAGCACTGCATATAAAGCTGGCACAGAAATTTTATCACCTGCTGGCAGATTGGTCCGTACCTAACAGAGCAGCTTGTAAAAGCGATTGCTTATGATGGATGGTTTAGGTGAGTCATGGGGCGTGCAGTCCTTGTTGGTGGTAGCACGGCTATAGGTACCCCTGGAACTTTTAGAAGGTCATCTAACTAATACATTAGATTAACCCCCCGTGTATAACGTACACCAGGTGACTGCTGTTCTCTGCAGCCCACGCTTTGCCTGGTCGGTCCTGGAGCCCAGCCTATTTGGATATGGCATTGGCCAGCCTGGGGTCTGTTAGAAACAGAAAACCAGTTTTAACATATGTCAGGCTCGGTGGTACCAGGAGGTGGGGCTGTGCCAGAGACTTTTTGACATTTGATGATCAAGAGATGTAACATTTTTAGCCTGAGAGACTTTCCTCTCCCTTAAATGGTGTTTCTCTGTATATGCCCCACTGAGCTGGTTTTTCTTCACCAGCTGCACTGAGAGTTGTGCTTCGTTATCTGGAAATGTGTTTCCCTCCTGCTATAGGCACAGAACTGATCCCTGGGCAGGTACGAGGATGTAAGGTCTCATGCTCAGTCTATGTAGTAGACCTGCTTCTCCTTTTGCTATTGGGTTGCCTACCAAGCAATCTGCTTGGCTTGTCCTTCGGCTGCCTTGCATGTTGCCAAGGACCAGTTGGCTCTGAGGAATGGGACAATGAGAAACATTGGTCTCCAGGAAAACAGGCTTGAGCCACTCCTTTTCAGAGCAAACACACAGGGCTACCTGTTTGCTCAGGCTATAGTTGCTGGTACAAAACCTCTTCTGAAGTTGGGTTTGCTAAAGCCTCACTCGTGTGCTGCCCTGAAGCTTGGTGTTGGAGTGTTAGGTGTGGTGTGGAGACCGGGGATCTTTTCTGTTGGTTCAGCAAAGGGTGCTGCAGGTGCCATCTCAGTGCCTGAACCTAGAGCCTGTTTTGGAAGCTCCCTGCTGGTGCTACAGCATGAGTTTGGTGGGTTCATGTGGAACCTCTTTGACTGCCTCCCACAGGCTGGCTTTGGACAACCTGTGGTGGTGTAAACATTGCTTGAGAGTTTCCCCCATGCATATGTGCTGTGAAGGAAAACTCAAGGAAAAAAGAGGTTACTCGTAGCTGGAGGTCTTCAAGATGTGTTGGCCCAAGCGTGTGGCTTCTCCATCCTGTCCCTCAGGCTTTGTGTAGCCTCTTGGGATTGCGTGGCTGAGACCAAAGGACGTTTACCACACACTGCCAGCATGGCCCTGTGTGGGTCATGGGAGGGAGAAGGGAAGGGGCGCACATATGCATGCTGTAGGTAGTGCGTCAGAAAAGTTTCTGAGCTGAAGTGCATATGGACAACACATTTCAAAAATACTCTCTTAATAGCTGGTAAGTTACTTCCTTCTATTTTATCTCCTTTTTTGGAGAGGATACTGGGCATCTGGAAAAATGGCCAATTACCACAAAAAAACTGGAAAAAGACATGTTTCTTATTTTTGCTGTATAGTGTGGGAAACTTCACATTATGCTGTGTAATCCTAGCATAGAATTTCTGGGTGCCCTTTCAGTTTGGGGTGCAGTCCTTCAGATGCCTTCAGGTACCTGGCACTGCCTCTGAACCTCGAGATTTGTGCAGCAGTGGGAACGTCATTTCACCCTGGCTCGGTCTGTATTGCCCCAGGCGGCTTCTGGGATGCTGTGCTTCTAGTGTAGGTGCGAGGGTCTTAGGTGTCGAGTGGAAAGGAAGATAATAAATGTTAAATGACCTGAGGATTCCTTTATATGTGTGCGTGGTTGCACAGGGGCTGGGGCTGACCTCAGCCAGGGCTGCTGCTCCTGCTCTTCCATCCTTTCTGGCATGATCCCGCCCTCTCCTCTGCCCAGAGCCTGAGTTTACGTGGTGAGTCAGTTCAGGGAACTCAGCTGGCCAAAACCTGATGGTGGAGAGGTGGTTGCACTTCAGCTCATTCGGGCACCTGAACTGACTAAATGGTGTGTGACTACAGAAGCATAGAGGACAGTGCTGGGAAGGAAAGCCTGCAGTGAAAGGTGGGACTGCAGCCTTGGCCAGATTAAATCTTACAGAACTGTGTCCTGAAGGTGGCTTGGTTCTCTGCCACCAAAAGGGTTGGTCCCCATGCCGCATTTTTGCTCTGCACTCTGTCTTTCTGCTGCTTCCCTTGTGTTGGCTCTGGCATGTCTGTGATCCTCTGCTAAGCCAGCAGAAAAGTAATTCAGGGAGGGGAAAAAAAAAAAAAAAAAAAAAGCAAGCGTTCTGTGAATTTAGTGAGCAGGATCATGAGGGTCATCGTGGGGTATGAGGATACCAGAACCAGTTCAAGGGAGGGTTATTGCCATGGGACTGGGACTGCCCCTTTGGCTCCGCCACCCCATCGGACTTTGCAGCAGGTGTTTCTGAATGAAGAACCATCCTGTTGTCCCAGTAAAAATGAACAAACAAGTTTGCCTTTATTCAAGGAATCACCTTCTGTTTCTGGTCACCCAGAGTCTCCTTTTGTCTGCCTCAGCCTCCCTTGACAGTTTAGGCATCTGTCCTTTCAGAGCCTGCAGAAGAAACAGTTGGGTTTTTCACCCTCTGAGTGTTTAAAACACAGCTCCTTTGGGAGGGCTGCAGCATTTCAGGCATTGCAAGCGCTCAGTCCCAAAGACGGGCAGATCCTCTGATGTCCTTCAGTCTTCTGGGATTTACCAGACCTTGGGCTGCTCCACGCCTTGGCATGAACTCTGAGGCAGCCACCTCCTCCCTGGTTCCTGGGGACCACGGCTGCAGGGAAGGAGCTGAACCGGCTCTGCCTGGCAGGGATTTCTGTGTAAGGCGCTCCAGTGCTTAGCTGTTTCCCCAGAAATTTAAAAAAAAAAAAAGGCTGTAGAAATCACCTTACACAAGGTAAGGGAGACCCTGCCTACACAGGAGATACTGCCAAAGATTGCTTCCTTATCTCCACCTTTTCTTTTTAAATTTCTAACTGTTTTGCTAGAATCATGCGTGAAAATTGCGTTAATACCTGCAGGAAATGGTGCAATCAAACAATCAGATCCTGATTTATTAGCTATTTGCTGGTATATGGGCGAGACGAGAGATTTCTATGGTTATGTGATTGTTTATAATGAGCATCCTAAATTCTCCCAAAAAATCACATTTTTGCTAATTCCGCACTTCTTTCTGTGATACATCTTCTTCTCATGAATTAAGAGTGATTCATGCAAAGTTAGGTGCACAGGGGAAATGCACATGACTTTTCATATACGACTATGGGTTTTAAATTAGCCGTTGCCATTCAGAGCAAATGTTTTGAATTTATTATGGATTGGTCTCTGAACTCATTTAGGAAAGTAAAAAGTGAATCCAGTGTTAGGAAATATCAAGCAAATATTGGAGAAAGCCACTGAGAGCATTCTTATGCTATAAGCAAACTAGGTGACGACATACTCATCAGTGTAAAGAATATTTATGTGTAGAATAGAGCGATAGAAGTGATCGAAGTCACAGCTTTCAGTCGTAGAGATCAGGGTTTTTTCAGTGTGGAAAAAATGACCAAGGGTATGATAAATGCTGTAAACGCAGTGGCACACAGAGAAGACAATTTGGGAATGATTATTTCTTTGTTTTCATGACACAAGAAATAGAGAGCATCCAGTGGAATTATTACATAGAAAACAAACAAATATGATTTTTTTTTTAAATATATATATAGTGGGAAATAACTTGTGGAACTCATTTTCAGGGAATTTTTTCCAGCTAAAAGTCAGGGGTGATCCTAATGTGTCAGAAATTTGCCTGTTGAAGACAGATATGATGAGGGTGCAGTTTCTGGCTTGAGAAATCTTCAGGCTTTCTAAACAAAAGTTGTGTTCCCAATTTGGCAGTCACTGGGCATTTTACAATTTCAGCAGACAAATCTGGTTTTTAAAGCATTTTAAAATGTGTTGATTTAAAAAGTAGGTATTTCACAAGTTTGGCAACCTGCAATTCACAAGAATTTTTCCTGGTGACCCATTAAACATCCCTTTAACTTCTGCACTAACATCGTGTTCTAATATTCCATTTTTTTTAGTAAGAATATTCAGGTTTTTTAACACAAAACAGTTTGGTTTTTTTTTTTTTTCCTTTTAAATTCACTTTCTAAGACTGCAAAGCTGAAGCAAACAGTCCCATGAAGGAGGATGGGCAAGCTCAGCCTGTTCTGGTGCCACGGCAGTGGTGGCGATGGCTTTTGCTGGAGTGGCGATGGCTGTGGGCAGCGCTTGCTTGTGCACGCACACCGAGAGACGAGTTCTTTCTCCTCTTCGCCCTGCTGTCACGCACCCCTTTGACTGCAACCATATCCCTCTGCCCTGTCCACATAAACCTGGGTCTGCACCCTCCCTCCTCCCATCTTCCAGCCGATCAGCCGCTATAGCCTGTGTCTGCTCCGTGACTCCAGAGACTCCTGGGAGGGAGCTGCCCATGGGTGGATGGTGGCACGACCTGTGGGACAGGCACTTGCACACAGCCCACGCTGAGGCTGTCTAAGTTCCCACATGCAGAAGCTGGCTCTGTGGGTCAGGGAAACCCTCCCCTGCGGGCAGCTGGGGGCTGCCTCTGTGTGCCGTCGGAGAGGTTCCACGGCTTGGGAGCTCTCTGGCCCGGCACTGGTGTGGTGGGTGAATGGTTGGTGCAACCCCTTGGTGCAGGTGACTCACAGAAAGGGACTGCTAGAGCTCGGCCAGCCCTGGGATGGGCATCTTGCCCCGGGATGGGATCGCTGTGCTGGTGTCGCTTCTGAGGGCTGTTTTCTAATGAGTTTTTCGAAATTTCTGTTGTGTAAGCCCCGGAGACGCGCAGATCCCAGGGCGGGACAGCGAAACGGGCAGGCGCTCGGAACCACAGCAGAGCCTTTGCAAAGCAGCATCCTCCATCCAGGCTCCGCGGCCT